TATTGTTTTTATTTTTGTTGTTGTCATTCAACATGCATAGGTCTTCTTCTTCTTCGTTTCACCTCCTCTTTGATTGTCAGTCAACAAAAACAAATATGTGTACGTATACCAGCAAGAAGAACAAAACAGTATCGACCGCACCAAGCAGTGCAATTCACTCAGCCAAAACGTTAAGGCAGGGCTGTCAGCCAGCCTGCCACCGTACGACCGACCGCCAAGTCGAAATATCAGACAATAATTTTATTTTGCTGAATGGAGGAGCCCTATAAGTAAACATAATACAAACATATATATATTTATATATATATATATATATATTTACGCGTTATATGTACGCTTATATGAATATATTACACACACAATATACATTTACACATATTTACTATCATTGCAATCGCATCTATTTAACTGGATACCACTGCATCTGTTAACGTCATCAGATGTATTTCTGAATTAATTCAAGATTTATGCAAAAATTATTTTTCATTCATTTTTTTTTTTTTTTTTTTTTGTTTTACTTTTACGTTAGTTTTGCCGTTTCGTTTTCTTTTTATTTTGTTTGTCTCTGTCGTCTTTACATGCGCTGTAATATCTACTGCACTTTTGTTGCTATTATGAAAAACGTTTTCGCACGCATAGCTTTTACATGAAGTGAAGCACCTGCAATTCGACATCGGCACTATAAAACTAGCAGCCAACGCTGCCACTTGACTCTGGTACACAATTGCCGCACACAATTATTTATATATATATATATATATATATATATGCATACGTATGTGCATCAGTGATCTATTTCTTAATATATGGATATATGCATCCCACTTACCCCTTCACCTTCCATCGACCATGCAGTCCCCCATCGCCTACCTCTTTCATCCCTAGGACAGTAAGCACTATAATTTTAATGTATTCAACGGGAAACTATTGCAATTATATGAAAAAAGACACGTACATAAATATAAACGCATAAATATGAACATATAAACAGATATGTGTATACATACAGTCATACATGCAGGCATATATATATATATATATATATATATATATATATGTGTGTATGTGCATGCACTATACATTATGATAGACTTCTAGGTATATAGGAACATGTTATGTATGCATCTGAACATGTAGTCGTCGTGTGTGCGTGTGTGTGTGTGTGTATACGTGCAAATATGTACGTATGGACAATTGCGTTGAATGTCTTTTCAATTCAATTTGGATCATGGACCATAAAAACGAAATTATGAATGTACACTTTTTTTTGTTTTGTTTCCATTTTACTTTACTTTTTCAGCAACAACAAGAGCAACAATAACAACAACAACGACAACAAATAAATAACATCAGCAAACGCAACAAAACAAACGCAGCGTCTAACTTACAATCAATTCCTATGGAATTGCTCGCTTGTTTATACATGTAAGTGCAAGCGGTAGGCCAAGTATTGCTGGGCCAGACTATTCGTTTTAATTCGACAAACGAATTTATGCAAAAATTTACACAAAAGATTTGGGTTAAACGATACCGATGAAAACGCTATGCATGAATGATAATAATGAAACGCCCATACGCATTATTATTGTAGTAGCAGTGGAGAACGATGGCAAAATATTTTTATGCTTTTTCTTTCCACTTTTTCGTGAGCGTTTACAATCCTAAATAAAGTTTGATTTAATGGCCATTCGATCCCGTCTACCTTCCAACGTAATAAAAGTTTACGCTTTACGAAAAGTTGCGTAATATGTACGATATATAAAAGAATATTGAATCACATTAGATTCGTAACTATTGGTGTGAAGTATGTAAGTAAGTATGCATCAACAATTGCATATTCCTGTTCAAAGCAAGAAAATATTATCGTTTATCTTTTAATAATAATAATAATAATAATAATATATTATACATATTGCAAAGTAAACCATGGCCCACCATTCAATACCTTGGACCACGTCGCTTAATGCACTTATTCGCATGAAGACTTTTTTAAAATAACGCGTTATATGAAAAGTGGTCGAAAAAGTGACTCGATTCGAACTATTTTCAATAGTGCTCGTCCTTGGGACAAAACGCCTCGAAATACAAAATTTCATCACAACATCGCAAAAACTGCAACTTGTACGCTGAACAAAAAAACAATACGGCAGACAGTGGGCAAACAGATCGACAGACCGATGGGCAGAGTTAACTCGATTCGAAAATGATTTTGAGTCGATCTGCATAACAATAGGTGCGTGTATCTCAAGTACTTATGCGTGTTGTATGCATTCGCACAAACTGAATATACTCTTATACCACAGGTACTAATTATAACAATAATAATAATAATACAATATATGAATAATAATAACTATGACAATAGTGATAATATTAACAAAATTCGAATTTAACTAACAACAGACATAGCAAAGCTCTGTTAGGACGTTTTAATGCTCTGTTAAGGATTTTTACGGTCAACAATTAGTTGGATTTGAGCGCCTACTCCCTCCAAATTAGAAGACTTTGACCGACTACTCATGAATTTGCATGAAAATGCCTTTCACACAAAAAAAAAATATATACAAACTCATAGACCCTGTAGAGAGCACTGCATAGAGCTATGCATGGGGCTTTCCTGTCCTAGTTCCTGTCCTATTCCTGGGGCCACCCCGCTTTCACACCTCCTCGAGACGGAACCTTACAGATCCTTTAACCTCATCTTTTCGATCACCGTGCCCAACATGCCCTGACGATTGTGACGGGATTCGAATACCGCCTTCGGCTGGCCTTATATCGAAGCATGCCATGCCAAAATCCAACGCATTTCTTCCATCTTTCGGTGTCCATTAACATGACCTTAGGATACTTGGCGTACATTCTATTTACAAAGATCTGAAAAGCCTATTCCTCAGATATGTCCAAACCGGATAGACGAAAACAATGTGTCGCGTTTATGCCTTGGCACATGTCGCATCCGCTATTTGCTCGTGAATTGAAACGGCACCAATTACTTGAAGAATTTCGATGGCCAGTGAAAAATCAGGCTAAAAGCAAAATAGTCCCTCCGTGTTTCGTCTCCAAACGTTGCTCTACGTTTTGGATGAGGCTATATATGCACCTTCCTTTCGAGTCGTTTTCCCCCCGTCACATAATTTGCGGGACAGTAGTGTGAAGTTTGCAGACATTGCTGTAATTCCCTTTGCCAGTAGTTGTCACTATGCACTATCGTGCACAGCTTTTGAACAGCTTCCAGTGTTCGCAAAAGATGTTTACTTTATAACAGTTTTTCCTGCCTAAGTGGGTACGGCATACATGATTTGCATCTAGGCTACGCTGCATATAAGTCCTCGCCTCACGTGTTCTGATCAGTTTACGTTTGGCATAATTTCACACCGAGTAGTTACGGTTGACAACGCCTTAGAAGAAACCATCTCAACGATAGTTTCGTAAATAATTTCACCCTCAGATATCTCAAATTAGAACCAAATGGTGAAATTCTCTGCTTTGGCCACACCGGAGTCACCAGTGTGACCATTTGTTCAGTGACTCAGTTTATGCTAACATATCAAATTTTAAAAAATTGTTAAAAAATAGTTCCGGAAAGCAGAATTTGGATTTGTTTAGCTTGTTAGAAAGGGATTTTCCTATAAATTAATGAGGTGAACACAAAAATGCTTTACGTTTTTTAATATGGGCGGGGTAAGCTTCCAAATCCAAATATATCTTATTTCTCTGTTAAGGAAAATGGTAGGTGTCTTCGCTAGTTGAATTCGAATTTATCTTCACGCGCTTCGTAAACCATACACTCTGGACCACAGATATTTTAGAGAGTTAACTGAAGTATTTTTCCCTTAACATTATGCCAGAATTTATAAATTTTATTCGCAAACCATTCATTCCCCAATAAATATAATATGGCCTTTAATTCGTGCAACTAAGCACATTCGTATCTATATCGACTATCTTGCATCATGGGACCTCCTAGCATTTATTTGTTATATCCTACATCAGTTGTAGTATAGGATATATTAAGTTTATGCGAACGTATGTAGCACGTAGAAAGGCTTAAGATATACCGACCCTTCATTATACCGACCGATCCAGACTCATTTCACTAGCCTGTCTGCCCGTCTGTCCGTGTGACGTCTGTATAGTCTGTCTGCAAACTTGTGTTCAAACTACATGTCGTAATTTTTGAAATATTTTAGTAGCATTTCGGCATTCTAAATTGGTATCAAAATTTTGGACCGGCTGGGTTAATTTTTTTTGAAAACTCTCTCATGTAACGAAATATGAAGTTCATATAACAGAAAGGTCTAATTTTAAATGCTTCATGATGAAGATCAGATCTTAACAATAATTTAAGACAAAAAAAATTGACTGTATCAAATCTTCTCGGATCCTGCCCAGGGATTTATACGAGCTTTAATCCTTTATAGGGCAGGAAAGTCTAACTTTTAACATTTTATAATGAAAATTCATCCATAATAGTAATTTGATATCAAAATTAACTGTATTTTATTTTGAACAGGTACCGCAACTCCTCGTCAACCTCTTGCACACAACCATTCTTACGGAAAGCAAGTCTTTACTTGTAAAGTGATCTAATCTTTTGTATACAAATATAAAAACAGGATGCAATTTTTGTGATCTATGGCAAAAGCAAAAATTGTTTTAAACAAAGTGATGTACGGTGTTTAATAGTCGGCCTAGCCCAATTATAATATTTCACTTGTTTTTATTTTTATTTTTAATTTTTTTTTGGTAACTTCAACTATAGAAATCATAAAACCCTAGGGGTCGTGTTAACAAATATGCCGCACAACGCGTTAATTATGTCTGGTTGGCATAAGCATTGATTTGACGTTACACGCGGCAACGATATTTTAAAATTATGCAACGCTACCGAATTGTCATGTAAAGTTTTAATTACGCTTACCCTGGATCATTTGGCACCTCAGATGGTGAGGCCATTTCCGCTTGTTGTTGGTTAGTAGCGCTGGTTTGCTGATGTTCGATCTTCATGTCCATGATGTTAATGTAAAATTGCAGTGGAGGTGATTTGTTTACTTTTCTTTTTTTTTTTTTAATTTATTTATTTATTTTTGTTTTTTTTTTTTTTTTTTGTAAATTAATAACAAGTAAACGTCGTATTAATAAAAATTTAATATTATGTTATATTAATTATATTCTTTTTTTTTTTATATTCCTTTTTTGTAATTTTTATATCTTCATTTATATCTTCATTTATATATTTATTTATTTATTTATTTAATATTTATTTTATTTTTTTTTTTGAAAACAATTTCAATGAATTTAAACTTAAAACACAAGGCAACACTTGATCACTACTTGGATTTTCTTTGGAAGATGGTTTGACGACGTCGATTAATACGAAATGAAAGCAAATAGGCGCGTAATGCGTGATTAATTAACACGAGACTAATTTGCTTTTCCTTAACATAAAAATTTGAATAACACAATGCACGTTATTGTCTTTACAAATGTATTTTATAAAGGCTTTAATCATAACTCGGTCAAACACATGCCAGGCTTTCTCTCCCACGTTTCGCCCTCACCTTCACTCCTTTGTATCTCTCAACCCGTATTGCGATAAAAAACTGATGTAATTTTCTAAGACTTACAATTATTGTATAATAAGCACTAATTTTATTGTTATTATTACCCGAACACCTGCATGCGTACAGTAAGTTGTTTGATGACTTTGTTTGTGATTTTATATTCTTTTTAAGGCTTGTTTTTTTTGTTTTCATTCACATTACCCCGTTGAACGCTAAAGTCTAACTACACAGCCCTATGGAATAAAAAAAAAAATGATGTGTACTTTTCATTTACAATACTTTCAATTATGTGTTGAACTTGTTTGCTTTAAAGAGGAAACAAAATTTCTTATTCTTATTCTTATCAAGCTGTGCAAATTAATATATATTTATTTTGCTTTGCCTTTTTAATCCAGAGTTCAAAGGTAAGAAGGGAAAATAATTCAAATTCGATTATGATAGCTAAAAAGAAGCACCCAACGAACGTTACCTATATTATATGTTATTATATATTGAATGGGTAATAAAAGTATCGACTCGGTCCGATAAATACGCAAATAATCAAATCAAAATTGAATTTTCCTCTCATCTTCTCATAAGCTGACGACACATCAACACGATTGCACATCACAATCAAATCGGGTAAGTGGAGTCAAACCTCATCGAGAACTTCAACAAAACATCGGCCTTGATCATTTACTTCATTTCATTGCACGAAAGTACAATTTCACGCATTTGCTCTTCACCTTACCGTAAACAAGTACACACACGTCGTTTGTTTAAACACTAACAAGAATTTACAAATTTCGCGCGCCTCATTGACTTGTGCATTGTCCTTTACGGGAAATTCCTTCTCCTTATTCGTACATTGGACAGGGTGGATCCAAATTTTATTACATCATCCGATTGTCCGTCCGTCTATTCTTTTTATTTTCTTATGGTCGATCTATAGGCCGCAATTTTTGAGATATTTTGATGAAATTCTCTGCATCGATATGTTTTGATCCAAAGACAGACTGTGCTGAGAATGTTTTGGATCGGAACATTTTTTCGACCATTTCCCATATAACGCCTTACTTTTGAAAAGTCGTTATACGACTGTAACTGTGTTAAGCAAAGTGGTGTAGGATATTTATTAGTAAGTCATGGCCAGCTATAACGTTCTTACTTGTTTTCCTTTCTATTCGCATATGATATACATAATTTCCAGGCCGAAAGGGCCATTGATCTTTTAAAACTTTTTGCGTAAGCATCTTACACTTCGGATCACTTTATAAAAACGAAAGTTCTGCTTAGATAAGCAATAAGCTCTCGAATAATTTAGGTATTCATTAAAAGCAAGAAGACGATGATTCTAGCAAGGTTTAGTTGTATTCGTGCTGGACGGTACAATATTAGGCCGATCGTCGTCATATTAAAAAATCAAAATCGGTGATTGATAGCGTTCTCCAATGATGGTTCTAATTAATTAGCACAATTCATAATACTCTATGCTATATATATGGAAAGCATGAGTAGCCAAGCAGATAAGAATTACCACTACCAAGTCAGTGTTCGCGGGGTTGCCATTTCAGGGCGCTGAAATTAACTTTGATCATAGCTAGAGTGAGTGCTTCGCCGGTAAACGTTGTCGGCATTACATTTACCGATTGAGCCATCACTTCTTTCGTTATTTCACTTTCGCCACTCCTTGTTGACCATCAACGCATTACACGTGCAGGGGGTGTTGGAGTCAAAAATTGTTCAATAAACGTAAAACGTGATATATACGCTAATTCAACCATTTAACTGTTAACTGTGTCAATGTTGTCGAGACCGTATTCGAACCGGAGACAGAAATGGTTCTGGTGTAAGTATGACATGACTTGTAATCTCGCAGAGAAAACGCAATAAAGCTTTTGTCCGAGGTCGCTTTAGTTTTTTATTTATATTGCGTGCGCGTGGGGGGGGATCGCAAGCATTTTTCACCCTTGGCTTCTAAATGGTTCGAAAGAATGTTCGTACTAAAATTTCAGCCTTCTGTCTTCGCGTCCGCGATTGATCCGGTTTGTTAGAAATAGTTATCCGTGATTGGTTATAGATATTTCGAACATTACATGCCATTAGGCGGGATCAAATTGCCGATATCGTTAAACTTTGTCAAATCGAAATTCGAAATCTTCAAAATATGCTCAAAAAATATATAAGCGAATATTTACACGATCTCTGATTTTTGTCATTACTCCTTACAAATGTGTAATGATGCATCAAATAATTGCTAAAGACTATCACGAGTTCGATTAGTAAAAATTCCCATATGCCTATGTAATGTAGATAAACATTAGCCCTCTTTACTTAAGTTGTTGTGTATGTGTATGTATGCGTATATATATATATATATTAAATGCTACCAATTATTATATGAAGGCTTTCCTCTGACATTGCCCCTATTGGAGAGCAAAAGTTAATGCAATATTATTATTACATTCATATATATATAAATATATATTATATATGATACACAGACACACGTATATATATATATATATATGTATATATTATGACCTTATTATTATTCTCCCTGATCTTGTTTAGCTTTAAGTAAATTTTCCACACAATGCATTATTGCATGTTTCCATTACTGTTACTGTGCTGTTTGTTGTTGTTTTTTGTTTCTGTTATTGTCGTGGCGTTTATCTGTTACATAGTAAACGCGATCAAAAGCTTCCCATTCATAGTTTTAGCTTTTTTTCCATTTCGTATATTATTTCTTTCTTTCTAAATAAATAAAATTTATAATCATTATCGCCGACCATCAGCAGCATACGCCGCAGGGGCAACTTGACGAGAGGTGCAATAAAATGTTATTCCCATTTTAGTGTAAATAAGCGTGAGCTTATACACACAAACACACACACACACATACATACACAAATATATAAATACTTGCTTATAAAGACTCTCTCATGAATTTCATACACACACCTATTCATCTTGGAGTGTATGCGTATATCCCACACAAAAAACTGCATCTACAGAGCACAGTACCAAATAAATAAATGCGCTAACTGCCTGCCAATCAAGAATACACGTGACTATGTAATTGCAACAATTGCATTCATTGCATTTGTGATTCTTTTTTCATGTTTTTTTCTTATTTTTCGTTTCCCCATCTAGGAGATCTGCTCGGTTTATCACAACGTTTAAATCATCACATATACTGCGAGCCAAGACAACGGGTGCCTTTTTGCCTTTTTCAACATTACAATCTACACAAATACATATACATATACATATACATATAATATTCCTTCCATTGCATATTTTCGTCATGTATTGACATGTCGGTTTAAACGAGGATGTAACCGAACCACGAGTCAATATTAACTATGAAAATTTTTATTCTTATTATTGATTGAGCTTAATATGAAAAGTCAGTCGATGATAATTGTTAACAGAAAAAAGAAAAAAAAACAAATTTCATCTATTTATCTATTTTATTTTTTATTTTTTTTTCATCCGCCTAAGTAAATGAATCGAAATTAACAAAATAAGGAATTAACGAGGACAACAACCTAAACTTAAGCTTTACAAACTTTGTACTAAGAAAATTCAAATAATTATGTTTTTCTTTATAATTTCACATTTGGTTGGTATTATTTTCAATCTACCATGACGACGAATTGAAACCCCCCACACATACTTCTAGCGCAACTTAGATTTGGGGTTTTAACATCCGCCCATTTGGCTGCTACTTGTTTAATCATTTTTGCTTTTTTTGCTTGCTCTGCTTTTCGTTTTTTTTAAATATGACCAATCACGCGGGGGATGTGCACTATTCGCGTAACGCGGTTACGATCGGAAAGCAGTGAGGTAAGGGAAAGAAAGAAAGCAACAGGGAAGTGGTGGTGGTCGCGGCCTAGTGGATGTCGATACGGTGACGATAAGTGTTACGCCTTTACCACCCAAGCAATGACTATAGCTACGATCGTATTAAACCCTGTCGCACTGGGACTTGAACTCGCGAACACCGACTTGGTAGCCGTCGCTCGACTACTCATACTTTTTATACATATTTTCACTTATTATGTAAAGCTGTTTTCATTTTATCTTTCCGTTCGCAATATTCGGATAAGCAGATCAAAGAATTGTATATAAACTGCAGAACAACTATACACCCTATGGGGGGGGCGCAAAATCGTGTCTAATTTTAATCGTGTCTAAGTTTCCGCTTCGGGCAGGAGGTGCTTGAAGTTGGGCTTAAGGAGACATTGACTGACGGCAATCATTAGCAGCCGAGCTCCGGCAGAGTTGGAGAGCGTCAACCTATTCTAAAAAATTATTTTTTTTATTTTTTTTTGGCTTCAGCGAGACATCCGGTTTTGACCGCCTCTTTTCGTTTTCTCGCGTAGAGAGTCGACGCAACCAGACGTGTCGCGGTGTTTTAGTGAAAAATGGCATTAAATTGAGCCTAAGCTAAATATTTACCCAAGTCAATGAGAATAGCAAAGGTTAAATGAGATCGCGAAAAAGGAAAGAAGAGTCCATCGTGGAAATGCCAAGTTTCTCCAAGTCTCACCCAAGTCAAGTATCGGTAAAATTCGTTTAAGTCAAGAGCTAAAGTGAATACGAAATAATACATGTGAAGCTACAATTGTGAAAAGGTATATAAGTTGAACGCGTAAAGTTTCTTTTTTCGCCCGAGTTATCATAATTTCTGAAGAGTGCATAACCGATATAGTTTGTTCAATCGGGTCCCGCAATTACAAATTATCTTGTGGGAGGGACGGTAGGTTTACCCGGCCGCAGGACCGATATAACCGACATTTCCGGGTTACATAAGCTGAGGGGGAAATCAAAATTTTATTGCATTTAATGCATTGATCGTACGAAGGCGGGAAGCGTGTTTGCAAAAGACAAAACTGATCGAACAAGAACATCCAAGAAAAATAATGACATTTTTAGCGCACTTTTCATCAGTGACTAAACTTCGACTTGCATATATCGGAGATATCGGTGTGAAAAGTGGCGAAAGTGAATATTAAAAACTTGCTTTTGCTCGTTCGCCTAATACGTTCAAGGTGAACAAAAATAATAAGCCAGCTTTAGGGTATCGCAAATTTAATTTTAAAAACAAATGCAGTTTTTATACTTATTTTTTCTATTATTACTATTATTATTATTATTATTATTATTGTTATTATTAGTATTTTTGTTATTGTTGGAAAGACCTTTTTGTCTACATTGTTTATTATATTTGTTCGTAATTTTTTTT